AAGGGAAAAGGTTTTTTAAGGGGGGGGGTGTTTTTCTTTAGAAAATGGGAGGGGGGGGTTTGGAATTTTGGGACCCTTTTTTTTTTTTTTTTTTTTTTTTTTTTTTTTTTTTTTTTTTAGAAAAAAGAGAATTATTTGAAAGTAAGATAAATTGAATTGAACTTCAATGGTTTCATTTCTTTTTGTTTCGAATTTTTAACACGTATTTATTAATTTTTATAGATCTTTTCACTCCGACATAAACGCCGCAAATTCACAAGGGAAAATGCATACCTTGGAATCTGGGCAGATCCGATGAAGCTTATCGATCTAATCGGTCAAATCGTAAGATAAAGTAAAAAGTAATTTGTTACCATAATTTCCTTTTAACATTATTTATTCTTTTATAGAGACGTACAACTTCGAGATCAGTCACAGTCGAGGATGTTGAAACGGTCGACTATGCAGATACAGATCATTCAAGTGGAGAGGAGGTAGAAGCAAAAAAAAAAATAATGCAAAAAACGTAACAAAAATATCTAATGATTCTATTACTGATAATTCCAATAAGAAAATATTTGAAGGACATGTATCAAAGAAACCAGTTGATAAAAATTTTGGAAGCTTTTAGAAGCATACAAAAGGAATTGGTTTGAATTAATGATGAAAATATGGTTACAAAATAGTAAGTGGAAAATTAAATTAATTATATATTGTCTGAATCTTTGTTCAATAAAACTAATATAATATTATTTTTTTTATGGTGAAGGTTTGGGTTCAGATAAAAGCGGTATTGTCAACTCAATTGAGTCGCAATTGCGATGGGATTAGCATTCAAGGATTTAAAGAAAAAACGAAACAAGCTAAAGTGATAGAAAAAAGGCAAGTGTTAAGTAACTTTATTTATCTTTCAAATAATTGCATCTAATCATATTTTGTTCGCTTATTATTAGACAAGGTTTAGTTGAGGATGAAGAGGAAATTAGTTTCAAACCGGTCAAAAAAAAAAAAAAAGTAATGCATGGAAAAAATCTGTTAAGGCTAAATCGCTTACAAGACTGCAGATGAAATTATCGACGAAATTGATTTAAGCCCATCGGTCCAACCGATCATAATTATTGATATGACCGGTCCACAGGTATAATTTTTTTTTTTTTAATTTTAAATTAATTGGTTTGTTGCTTTCTTATTTATTATATTAAATCAAACTGCAGGTTCGCGAGCTTTCTTCGGCTAGCTAAATCTCCTCACTAGCAATACCAGACACGTCGATACGGTTACCAGAATTGCTTCATAATCTTGGTTGATTGTTGATATATCGAAAGCGGACTTGAAACATTTCACGAGAGAGTCGCGTATACAAACTTAACGAACTAGATATTGAAAAGGATAATATTATAGCAACAGACCAAGTAGATGATGAAAAAACATCATTTATAAAACAATAGCGATAAAACAACTCATTAAAATAGATAGTTAACATGATTTTATAGAGATAAGTCGTCTTGAAGAAATAATATCAATTATTAAAGAATGTATTATGCGGCTTACCCTTTCCTTGTCAAACGGTTCCCTTTCATTAAAAGATTTTTATGACCCTTTACAAAAAATACAAAGTGAATATGTCAATGAATTCATTACTCATAATTTAGAAGCTGTTATAATTGCAATAATTACTCCAGTGGTAAGTATAATTTTAATATCATAAGTTCTTCTTCCTTATAAATATAATTTATTTACAAAATTAGCCCTTTTATTATTTTAGTGGTGCCTCGAAACTATGGTCGAGCATTTGAAATTTTTGACTCGGATTTTTGGAATAAACTTTGCAAGAACTTTGATGCAATTATTTCCAAACTCCGATCAAGCTTAGTATATCGCATATTATTCATATAAGTCCAATTTAAATGGTTTTTTATAGAAAATGTTTATTATAACATGGATTTCCATTTTGAAATTTCTTTCCCGCGAAATCAAAACTCTTTAAAGTGCTTTCTAAACAAAGAAAATTTTGCTGAAATGACAAAGAAGGTATTCATTAGAACAGGATTTGATGTATTAATCAATAACCTAAAATATAGTAACAGAGAAATTATATACAAAATGAAAAAGAAATTATGTGATTGTAGAGGCGATTTTAAACGCAAGATCTTAATATTGATGGGCTTATGAGAGACATTATTTTTCAAAGATTCATCCATTATACAGGAGAATCTTTAACGAAAGAAAAGATCGTGAGGCATTTATTGCTTCGGAATACCTTCAACTATTAGACCTTCAAGATATTATATGAAAAATACCTTGGCAATTATAAATATTCATCAGAATGGTTATCTAGAATTGTGGAAACGATGTCATTGACAGAAGGTAATATCCTTTCTAATTTATTAATTGAAGTGGTTCAGCTATTCAGTTGAATACTATTGAATTTGGCAGTTTTCTGATCCAGCACTTCGGGTTCTTTTATCTTGTACTTATGAAAAGGGAAAACCCTTTGTAATTCCAGAATATGATATAGTGTTATTTTAGTTGTCAGGACAGATGCAACCAAATTACTTTTGAACCAGTTACCAACCTTAGAACACATGGATAATTTTTAAACAAAATTGATAATGAGCTTATCCCGGATCGTCATAAGGTTGCTAAAGAATTAGAACTTTTGATAAAATTTATTAAGATTAAAAGTCAAAATATCTGCCAATACATTGAAAATTAAACGATTTGTTATGTTTACGACATAAAGTCATGTTCGTGGATGAGTCAGCGAGTGGATCAATGCTTATATTGAACAAATATGGGAAGTTGAATGAGCATCAGATGCTTGCACTTACATCATAGTGTTAGACTCAAGGATTTTTGAATGTGATATTATTATTGAAAAACATTGGGGCTGGAGATTTGTAACAGAAAATTTTGATGATGAAAAAAAGGTTGAAGTACTGGATGGGTATTAGGCAATTGATGTCAATAATATTCGATGATATAAGGTTGTATTATTATATAATACTTGCGCAGCCATAATAAATAGGCGTTAACATGTGATTATCTTTGTAATTTTCTTCTTGATTATAGTGACATTAAATGGTGATAATTATTAGATCAGATCTGTATTATTTGATACGCTTCCTTATACTATATAAGAAATACATTTTAAAAATACAAAAATTATTTCTCATCAAAAAAAAAAAAATGCCAGACGTTGATCTTAATTCAAATAACGAAAGAAATATTTTACTAATTGGCAGAACAGGGAATGGAAAGTCCACGTTAGGTAATGTTCTCGTAAATAAAAATGGTGATTTTGAAACAGTATTTAAAGAAAGTAGTTATGGAGTTAGTGAAACACGAGATATTGATACAGGAGAATTTATGATAGATAGTATTAAATATAAAGTAATTGATACAGTTGGTCTTGGAGATACAAAATTAAATCGAAAGGAAGTGATGTATAAATTAGGTGAAGCGGCTCATAAAACCCGGGATGGCTTAAATCAGTTATTGTTTGTAACTAGCAGTCGTTTTACTGAAGAAGAAAGATTTACTTATAATTTATTGAGAGAGATTATTTTTGATGATGATATTGTAAATCATACTACTATTGTACGCACCAACTTTGAAAATTTTATGGATGAGGATGAGATTAAAGAAGATCAGAGAAGAATGATCAGTGAAAATGCAGAACTTGCAAGAGTTATTTGTTCTTGTAATAAGATTATTCATGTGAATAACCCTCCTATGAATATAAAGGATGCAAGACGCTTAAAGTTGAATAAAGAAGATAGGGAAGACTCAAGATCTAAGTTGTTGCTTCATTTAGGTGCTTGTAAAGATACAATATATAGACCAAAAAATTTGGATAGTTTAAATTCAAGGATTGGTGAAAGTATGACAGAGATAGAAAAATTACAAAAGAAGCTGAAAGATGAACAAAATCTTAACGAACAACAAAGGATAGAAATGCAAAGAGAAATAGTTGATCTTAAAGCAAAGGTTTCTAAGGAAACACGAGGTTTTTGTCAAATCGTAGGAGAAGCGATGGACGTAGGAATAGAGAAACTTCGAGAGGAATTTGAAAACAAATGCAATTTAATGTAATTTATAATCTACAATTATTACATCTTTTTCTTTAAGATACCCGGGTACGATACAAATTTTCGAATTTCAGGGTACAACCAGAGGGGAATACAAGCATAATTGATTTAAATATGATAAATTTATATTTGATTATTAAAAAATCTTCATTAATATTAAATTTAATAAATGAATTAAATATGATTTAAAAATATATGTTAAATGCATTTCCTAATCTTTATTAGGATTTCTTATTACTAAAGTTAAATCTAATTCTTTTATTTGTTAAACATCAAGATCTCTAAGAATATATTTTCAACTTGTATTATTAATATGATGAAATTTTACAAATTGTTCACTTAAATTTTCAATTATTTTAAAAAGCCAAGTAAATAAGTATTAATAAGTATTAGCTGTAAAATATTGATATATATATATATAATAATAAAAAATAAAATATTTACTTAATTTATGAATATTATCATAAGAATTACAGTCAACTCTTTCTACAACGAATTTTGATATAACGAATTTTACAATACAACGGATTTTCATTAGAGCTTTCCTTGAACGGATAATATCCTAGAATAAATTCGGATTATCCTATTATCCACATTATATCCGAATAATATTTGAATAGTTAACCGGAT